AGCTCTCTACGGTCGCTACATCGAGAAATTCAAGCGATCTAAAATCATTCGCGCGCGACTTTGGTGTTCGCGTAAAGTTCCACCGCGTCTCAGCTGCGTTGAACGCGTCGAGCGGAATTACCGTCGCCGGAGCTCGCTACTTGTGTCGGTCGGACAAGGATCCGCGCGTTTCCTTGTCCTCATCCGGTCCAGCATTCCTTCAAAGTATTGTAGTCCCTAAATGTTCATTTCAATTTATTTCTGTTCTCTTGTATCGTTTGTTAATAAAGTTAGGGGAGGTTGTCGATGATGAGGGATCTGTAGAATATCTCGAAGATCGTCTTCACTTGAATCTACAATTTCTGAGTCAACTTCGACTAAATTGAAATCCTCTGTAAATCGCAAAATCATCCGCTGCTCCTGTCCTCTGTTTTAAATTTCGTATCGTCATCAAAACATGTGGTCGTTGCTTTCCCCTTGCTTTGTCTCGCAGTTTTGGTGACCATCCTCTGGCTCCGTTCAAACACGGTCCTTATCATCTCAACGGTCTCTCCTTGTCCGATCGCTACCTCGGAGCATCGGTGGATCCAGAGGAATCTGTAGGACTACCGTGACTCGATCCTCGGGATCTTCGAGGAGTTGAGCGAACGCTGATACAAGGCTCAGCAAACCCGATCTCTACCTTCGCGTCTCAATCGAGGCGGAAACCGGGCCTCGTTTCGGACTGAGGAGACGCTCAGTTTTACCGAAACAGTGATTCTTAATGATGTTGTCGGATAGACGTCAAAAAGAAGATCTCCGATTGGTGGAGCCATTTTGCAGAAGCTCGTGATTGGGTATAGAGTTCCGCAACGTGCTACGTATGGCTCATGTAAGGTGTGGCGTATAACCGCATTAACCGCCCATTCCGAGATCGACTGTGGCAGCATTGAGCAGCAGTCAGTTACGCTCGACGAATTGTGATTTTGGCGGCGAAGATACCACGTACATTTTACCCGTACCTGCAACAGGAAAGATACTTAAATATGAAACCTTATATTAAATTATCCACCTCGCGGAAATCGTTGCATAAATTGTCCGTGAGACAACGAAGAAGGGTTATGACTCAAGCAAGAACAAAGAACTTGCGTTTGCAAATTTCTCGTGCATGTAACTTTGCTCATATACAATCGAATAATTCTACATTGCAAGATATTCCTGCTTCATCCATTGTAGGATCTTCCTCGCATCGGTTGCACGATAGTTTTTCGAGTAATATTAATATCTTAGACGATAATATTGACGATATTAGACGTTGTGTTAACGTAGAAGATGATACGGCATCTTTGTCTTCCACGTCTTCACACGGTTCTCATGAATCATCTTCACTTTCAACTACTTCGTCAGAACCATCTTTTTCCGAACACTTAGCGTCTTGTTTTGTTGACAATAATTTGACGCATTCCCAAGGTAACAGTGTATTGTCGGTTCTGAAAACACTTACCTGCTTCTCTAATTTGCCCAAGGATGTTAGGACTCTTCTAAATACACCACGACATCGTGTCGTGGTATGTAAAGTCGAACCAGGAGAATACATTCACTTCAACCTGGAAACTGGAATTGTCGAAAGTGTCTCAAATTCTTTATTTGTAACTGATCTCACAGAATTAGAACTTGATTTTAACACAGATGGATGTACGTTGGATAAATCAGCTTGTATTCAAATCTGGCCAATTCAATGCAGAGTGTCAAATTTGCAAAATATAAAACCAATAGTTGTAGGAATTTATAAAGGTACACAAAAGCAATATGATCCCAATATTTTTTTCGAAAAATTTGTTGTTGATGTTAGAGCAATTATGTCCAATGGAGGTATACATTTTCGTAGCAATAATAAAATTCCAATAAAATTAAGATGTTTTATAGCTGATGCACCAGCTCGAGCTTTTATTTTAAATCAACGTGGTCATATGTCTAGTCACCCCTGTTCCAAGTGCAAAGTTTCAGGTACACTAAGCGAAGGCCGCAATGTCTTTAATGGTGTAAATCATCCTCTTCGTACTGATAAAGACTATGTATCATGTATAGACGAGGATCATCACAAAGAAGGTACAAGTCCACTATCGGTACTGCCAATGGGAATGGTTTCGCAAGTCCCTTTCGAATATATGCACCTTATATGTTTAGGTGTAATGAAAAAATTGTTAACTGCGTGGGTACACGGAAAATACTCAAGGAAAGCAAAGCTTTCGGGAAGATCTATTTCTATAATATGTAATCGGTTAATAACTTTTAAAAAATATTGTCCTACGGAATTCGC